TTCTTGAACAAATTCAAATCTTAGCCAAAATGGTGGGAGTGACCAATTGCCGTATTATATATAAATATACTAGCAACTGGGCCGATTTCTTACAAATATCAATTAACCATATCTTTAAATTAAATCCAAAACCCTCTCTCTGACGTTTCTCAATCTCCCATGGAACGGCACCTGCAGATTTTGGTATCTGATCAATCATCATCATAACTCACGATGGTCATATTTGATTCAATCAATCTTTCTTTTTATTAAGTAGTGGACTGTAGTTATATTGGATATATATTTGAATTCATCAATAGAAGACATCGATAAAAATAAATTTTATGTCGGATGATTTATATAATAAAAAATAATTTTTTTTATTTAAACTTAAAATCTTCAATATAAAAACTCAAATTCTTAACTATTGAGATGCCTTCTAAAAGACAATACATCTTAATTTATGTTATATTAATGAAATTTTGTTAGGCACATATCAAAAACAAGTTAGTTAGTTAAAGATTTTTCTAACCCTATACCTTTACGTCGCATGTTAAGAAAGTAAGTAATGTATTTTCATCATTAAATTACATAAAAAAATAAAATTTGACTTTAATTTTAACTACTAACCAATTAAATTAAGATATTTGATATTAATATTAAAATTAATATAAACTTTTTTACTTTTTCACATATATTAATGACTAAAATATGTATTAACTACACCCTTAACATGTGTCTTAGAGCATAGGTTAAAAAGATTCTTTAGTTAATTACTACTATGATACTATTCAAGAAAATGTATAAATAAAAATATCCATTTTTTTATTTTTTTTTTAAAGAAATAAATATTTTGAATTTTAAAATTAAATTGTAAGCTTTCATTTTTTCTCAATAAAGATACAATCTTTGTATTTTTTCTAAATAAAAATACGAACTTTACCTTATTTCTTTTTAAGAATGAATGATGACATGATAAAAAGAATTTTTAATTAAAATAAATTAAAATTTATTATTTTAAATAAAAAAAATTACAAAATTTGTACTCTCAATTGAACCTTTTCTCCATGATACTCTCCTAATTGATTTCTTTCTTTAAAAAGGGGTTTCCCTTACAATCCCAAAGATTCCAGAGTGGATCAACTCAATCAGAAGGATACTGGGCCTAGCCCATTAACGAGTCCAGTGTTGTCACTGTAGTAGTGTAGTCACCATCCAATACCACGCCAAAAGCTTACTTTAACCCCTCATCTTATTAAATTTGAAGATTTTAACCCTTCATCTTATATTATGATATTTTTAATTTTTTACCTTATTAGATTTATAGGTTTTATCCCCTCACTTTATGCTATAATACTTTTAACCCCTCACTTATTAAAATTAAAGAAAATAACCCTCATTTTATAATATTTTATTAATTTTATTAATTAATTATTAATTCTATTAATTGACTGTTAGTTAACTATTAACTTATAAAAATCTTCTTTTGACTAATAAAATTAATTTTATAATATTTTATTAATTTTATTAACTGATTATTAGTTGATTATTAATTAACAAAAATCTACTAACTAACAGAGTTAACAGTAAGTATAAAGTGGAGGTTATTTTTTTATTTTAATAGGTGAGGGGTTAAAAGCTTCAAATTTGATAAGGTGAGGGGCTAAAATGGGGATTTTAGCCCCAATACCACCCACCTTCATCGTCTCCCCCAGGAAGCAACTTGCTCCATGAATCCTGGATACCCATAATCTCACAGAGAAGGACAGAGTGAGCTGTAACAATGGCCG